CCAGTCCCGGGCGGAGCAGCCGTCCCGGGGAGCCGGAGCCCCTTCTCAGCGGAGAGGGCCCGCTGCTCCTCGGCCTGCGTTCCAGCCCGCTCACAGGCCGTCTGCGGGGCCTGCGCTTCGGGCCGGTGAGCAGGTTGAGACGTCTCATAATCCGGAGACCCGGAGGGTCTCGACCCATCGACCCCCGGCGTGACCTTGAGAAGGTTCTTTCCTCCCCCCAAGCCTGTCCCGTATCTGTGCTGGAAGTGGTGAATGTTAAGAATTAATTAAGCCCTTGATTTGTGACGTTGACTGAACCAAGCGACTCAGACATCGCGTCTTGCTCCATTTTACAGATGGGGAGACTGAGGCCTCGAGAGGCCGAGTCGCTCCCGGTTGCAGGGCTGGTAAGGGGCGGGCGGGATTTGCTTCCCGGGCTCCCTGGTTCCTGCAGCCCAGCTCTTACCGCTCAGCTGATCCTGACTCCAACGCTGCTGGGGGCGGGGGATTTCAAAGCAGAGGAGGCTGAGGAAAAGCGTGGGAAAGGGCAACGAGCAGATATTCAGGAGCCCCTCTGCGTGCCAGGCCGGGCACCCCTGTGGGAAGCCTGCTTTTCTCTGTGGGTTGTGACATTCTTGCACCCCAGTGGCGCAGGCGAGGACAGGCTCAGAGTGGCGCGGGGCGCCCGGAGGCCCGCAGCTGCAGGAGGCTGGGCTGGGGCCCAGACCTGGAGGCGCTGCCGCCTGGGCTCCTTCCGCCCCTCTCCCCTGGGCGCGCAGGGGCCAGCTGCCAGCCACCCCGCAACACCCAGGAGCGGGCGCTGCGCCTTGGTCTCTCGATCCTCCGATCTTCCGGTAAACAGTCCTCAAGAGTCAGCAGAAGCGCCCCCGCCAGCCCCACGGCACTATAGCTGTGCTGGGAGGGACGTAAAATGGTGACATGCTAAGAGAGAGGGGGCTAGACCGGGAGCTGCTCCCAAAGGGTGTCGGTGACGTCTCTGTGCGTGGGGCCATCTAAGCGGAGGCCTGAACGGTGAGGGTATCCAGCCATGCGAGAGCTGGCACCGCGGCGGAGAGACCGGCGAGGGCGAAGGCCTTGGGGCGGGAGGGTGGACTCCATGAACACGCGTTCTGTGAACGCAAGGGTGGCCGGGGCGCCGCGGCGGAGCCAGACTGGGGGTGGTCAGAAGCTGGGGGAGCAGGCTGTGCGGGTCTTGGCATGGAGCTGGACTTTCATTCCAGGCGTGATGGGGAGTTGCGTTGCTATGGCCGGAGGTGTGGTGCAGGTGACCGGGTTGGACTAGGTGGTGGATGCCCTTCCTGCACTGCTAGCCCCGGGTTGGAGGAGGAAGTTGATCACTCAGACCTTAAACCTGCCCTGTCCCGTCTGCCTCCTGGCTTCTAGGAGATGCATGTGGACATTCAGGAAGTCCCCAGTGCCTGGTCTCCACACAGACTTGGAGGTATCAGATCAGCTAAACCCTCCTCTTGCAGATGGGGCTGAGACGGAGGCCCAGACTGCAGGGATGAGCCCCACCTTCGCTGGGTGGGTGGGCAGCCATGGGACCTGCTTCACTGACTCATGTGCCTTCTGCACCCAGCACAGCATTGACCAAGCCCACCCTTAGACGTGGCCAAGGTGGGCCTTGCCCTGGCCATCCTCCAGCTGCATATATCCCCACAGGGCCACAGTGCCAAGGGGACATACCCATGCAAGCCTTTGCCCCCTTTCTAGAATACTCCAGGTTCCCGAGACCCCTGAGTTCCCTGCCCAGAGGTCCCAAGCCTGCTGCCAGGCCTCTTCCTGGTTTGTTTAGGAGGCAGAACACTAGGCCCAGGGTGTAGCCAAGGGACACCGTGGAGCATGGGCGTGAATGGAGCCTGGGCATGCAGCCTGGGGGGCTGCACACAGGCATGTGGGTGTGCACGGTATGGGGTGGGGATGGGGATGAGAGAGGAAAAGGGCAGGCTGTCGGCTGGGAGAGGAGCCCAAGGGATGGGGCCACTGTCCCCTAGCACCACCACATTTCAGTGCAGCTATCTGAGAAGTCTGAGGTTCCTAAATTGATCCTGGCCTTTAAGGTTGTTTTGAAGTTATACTTTTCAAGGAGAAGGACAGAACATTTAAAAACAAGGTATTCACCTGATACATAACTTTTAAATATTTACATTTAAGGATGAGTGGACACCAGGCCCTACCAATATCAGTGGTGGGTCTGGCCTAGCCCCTCGGATATATTCAATATTTATCAAATACATGGATTAATCTCATTTAATTTAATCCTCACACAGACTCAATGGAGGGAAATCACATTGTCAGTGTTTTATTGATGAAGCAACTAAAGCTTGGAGAGACTTAGTGACCGGCCCAATTTGTCGAGTGGAAAAGTAGGAGAGCTGAGCCTCAAGCCCTGACGTGTCTGATTCCAAAATCCATGGCCATTGGTCCATGGCAAGTTCACAGCCATTATGATCACATTACGTATAGTATGACTGTTTGACCATGTCCCTCATTGGTCTTCCCAGACATAAGCACTGTGCATATTACATGACAAACGCCTTCTCTTCTTCATTCTTACTCCACTTTCTCAGGCACCTTTGGGAGGTAATGACAGGAGATAATGCTCCATTTGACAAATGGGAAACTGAGGCCCTGAGCAATAGCCCAAGGCTTAAAGAGATAGGGTTTATTTTTCTCATGTAACAAGAAATCTGGAGACAGCCAGGTCAGGGCTGGTACAATCATTGCACCATCCTCAGCAAACAACCCTACTTCTTGGTCTGTTATGGTTATTTATTGCTGCCCAACAAACTGCCCCGAAACAACAGCCATTTTATTTTCTGCAGTTTTGCGGGTCAGAAATCTGGGCAGGGCTCAGCTGGGTGATCCTTCAATGATGCATGGAACATTGACTGGAGTCACTCACTGATATTCAGCGGATGGTCGGTCTAATTAGGCGGATCAAGTTGGTTTCACTTGGATGCCTGGTGCTTTGGTGGGGACGGCTGGAATGCTGAGCTCAGCTGGGTCCCCCTCTCTTCCATGGAATCTCAGGGCCTCTGCAGGTGGTCCCTCCAGCAAGGTAGTTTAAAATTTTTTGTGGTAGTTCATGGCTCCAAGAGGCCATGGCAGAAGCTGCTTGTCCTTTTCAAGGCTAGGCCCAGAATTGGCTTAGCATCATTTCCACCATACTCTACTTGTCAAAAAAGTCACAGGCCAGCCCAGATTCAACTACAGGGGAAACAGTCTCCTCCCCTCAAAGAGGGAAGGATCAGAGAATCAACAACCATCTTTAATTCACCACATGGTCCAAGATGGGTACTTGAGATGTCGTCATCACATCTCAAATTCCAGCCAGCAAGGAAGAAGGGAGGAGGAAGGTGTTTACGTTCTAAGACATTTTCTAGAAGTCACATGCAACATTTCCCATTGGCCAAAACTCACATGGCCATATTTAGGACATGGAAGACAAGCTGGAAACTATAATCTTTATTCCAGGATGCCATGTGCTCAGCTTAAAACCAGGGATTCTGTTGACTAAGGAAGAAGGGAAGTATGGATTTTGAGAACCAACAAGAAATCTTTTCCACCATTGGGGGTTTTTGCTACCAATAGCCAAAAAAATTCCTAATAGAGATGTTTCATGACTGGTCTTGTCTCTTCTAATATGTCCTTGACCCTCTCATTAAAATAATCTTTCCTTTTGTATTATTATTTTTTTTCAGGTAGAAATCATGTTTCCTTTTTAATTGAGTATGTAATTCACACTGTTTCCTCTCTTGGCTACTACTCTGGTAAAAATTGGGTCCTCACCTCTAAAGAACATTGCATCTGAGTGTGAACATGGCCCTTAAACCAGGGCTTTCAAAATAACAGGAAACAGCAAAAGCCAGCCTTTTTCTTCAGCTAGAAAGGGAGGGTCCAAATCTGCACCTTCCAAATGTAGAAAACCTGGAGCTCAATGCAGAAATGGAAACCAAAATCTATCAGGAATGAAGTATAGTACCCCGCATATACTCAAGGTCAAGATGGTTTGTGAGAAATAGGTACCTGACCATCTGGCCTCTTCTATTAGGAATGGGCCAAACCCAGCATTTTTAAAAAGATGTTTTTGTTTCGCTTTCATTTCCCAAAGGGATATAAAAGCTACTACCCAGGATATAATGAATCAGCATAAAGTAACAGGACTGGATGATGATTTTTGGTTGCTGAGATTATTATGCACATTATTTCAAAGTGGCAAAAATCCGGGCACTCTGAGAAAAGAGAATTCAAAAGTGGCGGCTACATTTACTGACAGGTTTATGTAGAATACACATATGCACAAACCTCATTTTTTTTCAGGGTATTTATGTCACAAGGCCAAGACCCGATCATCAAAATCAGTTATTTTGTACATTACAGCACACAGAACAACGGAGGGAAAGACGCTTTCTTGGAAGGCGACTGAAAGGCATTTTGCAAAAGGTCCACATCCCTCTGAAGTGGAAGGACCAGAGCCCAGCACCTGGTGGCATTCATGAACTTGACCCTTCCTCTTCTTTGCAGGGGTTGCGATGGCTTCAGTGAAAGCCGTTTCTTCTACACATTCTGCCAGCTGCTGCTCCTCTTCTTTCTCCATATCCTCCGGGGATAGAGGTCTGGGTATTTCTGCATGCATCTTTGCATGGCCCGGAACTGGCCTACAGGGTCTCACCTCTGCCATCCTCCGTGCTATAGTGGAAGCAGGAAAAAACCAAGGTGAACTGCTCCCCACAGGGGTCGCTGGCCATCGCCCAGGACACAGGCAGTTCCCCTTAACGTCTCCATTTGGCAATCTGTGCTCCTCCTTGTAAGGACCATCGGGGTTGCTGGCCACCAGCTCTGCATTGCTCAGAGTTTCCTGGTCTTCTTTGGTCACAATATGACTTGATCTTTCTCTTCGGGCCAGCAGTAGGACACGGCTGCTGCCTCGTGCTTTGACCTCGCAGAAGCAGTGGCAGCAGCTGCAGCTTCATGACGTGACCTCGGTCCTTTAGTATTTTTTTTTTTTTATGTTCCTAAAGATAAATCTTTTCATCATTCCCGTGCCAACAGCAAGTGTCCAAAGCTTTCAGGGTTGTGTGAAACAACAATAATAGCGTTCGCCACACACCGGGCACTGTGCCAAGCCCTAAATGGAAATATCTCACTTGATCTTTGAGGCAATGCATTTAGGGAGGATCCCAGATGAGGAAACAGAAACCCAGAGAGGTTAAGTGACTTGCCCCAGGCCACACAGTGAGAAGGTGCAAGGCTGAGATTCAAACCCTGGTCTGTTAGATCCCAGAGATGTGCTGAGACACCCACGCATGTGTAGCCCACACTGTTTACTGATGACAGCCCTGGACCAGCGGCAAGGCCTGTGCTTGGCGTGTGAATGTTAGAGGTGACAGAAGTGAGCCAGGAGCCTGCAGACACCCTCTTACCCCTGTGGTCCTGCAGTAGGAGAGCCTGCACCCAGCCCCAGGGGCGGGCCGGCATATTTCATGAAATTAAACTGGCATCTCGAATTCATGTCATTCTATATCCTTTACACCCTGAATTCACGCCAGGCCACAAGCAGGAGACCTTGCAGAACTGGCTACGTTGCTAAGCAGCGTGCAAGCACAGGCCCAGTTAAATGGGGCACCTTCTGGATCCAGCTCTGAGGTTCCGTGTTCTGACCCCAGTTCTTGCTTTTCCTTCACCCCTATTCAAGGGCCCGCAGTGGTCCCGTCCCCCTCAAGTTCAGTTTTGCCCTTCTGCAAATGCCCCTGCAAGGAGGGTGGAGGAGAAGGACAAACAGATCTGGGTTCAAATCCTGGTTCCATGCTTTTGGTGAGTCTCGGTTTCTGCATCGGTCAAATGGGAAGAAATAATTTCTTCTCTGCTAATTAATCCAAGTGTCAAGGACCACATAGGACAAGGGATGGGAATGGCCTTTGCAAGCCAGAGCCAGTGAGGCGCGCAGTCCCCACTTCACAGCGTTGCATTTAAAGGACTAGGTGCTATCTCCTTGGAAGGCAGAGAGGTCTGGGCGTGGGGTGGGGGAATTCAGGGAGAGTGCTGCACCTTTGGGGGCAGGGGGGACTCCTGCTCACAGCCTCACAGAGGAGGTGGTCCAGGGTAACACCCTGTCGGGGGGCACAGTAAGACCACTGGAGCCAGAGAAACCTGCGTTTGAGTGTCCCAGCGTCCTCCCCTAGTAGCTGAGGGACCTTTGGGTGAGTCATGACTTCTCTGTTCCTTCATTTTCACATCAATAAGGTGGAAAAAGAGAATCTATCTCATTGGGATTTGGGGAGGAATCAAAAGAGAATGTGCCTTTAAACCATCTAATTTAGTACAGATGAACTGTTCAACCAGTAGTAACAGTAATCGTGACTGGTATTTGTTGAGTCCTAATTAAATCCTGTGCTATGAGCATTTCGTTGATGAGCTTACATCCTCCTCCCCACGACGCTGAGATGTAGGCAGCTTGACCATTTCCCACGTACAGACGCAGCGATGGGGGTACGGTTATCTCGAACGAGCTGCCCAACGTCACACGGTCAGTGGTGGAGGCTGGGCTTGGACCAGGCCCAGTCTGTCTGACCCGGACGCCACCTTAATCAGCACGCCATGCTGTTGTTGCTACTGTCAGGGCTATTGTTGACCTTGGATTCTGTGCCCAGAATACCTCTGCAAGAGTCAGACACCTGATTGGAGCAAAAGCAGTCACCTGACCCAAAGACTGCAGAAATACAGGCTGGCCGGCAGCCAATCATATTGCCTGGTGCAGAAGCTCCACCCAGCAGGGCTGAGCCCAATCAACTAACCAGACCAGTAGCTATTGGGCTGCCAGTTTGAATTTGGAGCACAAGGAGTTGGGACGGTGTATAAAAGCTGAAGCCCCTAGAAGATCAGACAGCTTTTTAAAAAAATGTGAAGGTGGCGCAGCACGAGTAAGATAAAACTCCAGGAAAGAGACGGGGAGCAGAGGGAAGGAAGTGAACACCAACACACCTCTGCTCCTTAGAGGGCCAGGGACCAACTCAGTGCCTGGAGCACTGGGTCCCGAATGACTTTCCAGTGGCTAAGCTGCATTCTGTGACACACAGTCAGAACTCCTGCCTGCCTATCCCTGCATGTAGCTCTACCGCAACCCTTGTGGCTCAGGTTAACCTGAGAGAGGTTCTCCTCTTTCAGCTGACATGAGGCTCGCTCAACCCCCACCTTAACTCAGGGCAATGCCAAGGACTGGAAGTGGCTAATGGAGAGGGACGAAGCACCACGAGTCCCTTCATCAAACCCAGGCGAGGAGGCCCAGGAGACACGGCCTGGCCTGGCTCCTGTTACATCAGAACCGTGGCTCAGTCCTTGGGTCTCTTCTCCTTTATACCTGTGATCATGCCCTTAGTGATCTCACCCACCAGCTGGAGGGACTCCAGGCCCGGCCTCTCCCCTGCACCGTGGACTCCTGTCCCGCTGCAGACTTGAGAGCTCCATTCGTGTTACACAGGCATGTCAAATCTACCTGCCCCAAACAGAGCTGAGTGTGCCTCCAACACCCGCCCTTCTCGCCGAGTTTCCATTTCAGGAAATGGCAACTCCATGATTCTAGTTGCTTCGATCGATTACCTGGGAGTCGCCCCTGCTCTCTATGTCTCATCTCCAACATTCCTTCAGGCCACAAATTCCGTTGGCTCTACCTTCCGAAGGTAACCATAACTGACCACTTCTGACCAAGCCGGCCACAGCCACCCTGGTTCGAGCTGCTATCATCTGTCACCTGGAATGACACAACAGCCTCCTCCTGCTTCTGGCCTTCCTTCTACAACTTGCTCTGAACTCAGCAGCCAGAGAGCTCCTGTCGAAACTCAAGCCAGACCTTGCAATCCTCTTGCCTCAAAGCCACCAATCGCGTCCCTTCTCACTCAGAGGAAAAACAAAAGTCTTCACAAAGGCCTTCAAGGTCGTACACAGTGTGGCTTCCCCAATTTTCCCTACAGACTCCCCTCCTTGACCTCACCTCCCAGGCCTGTCCCAGCCGTGCCTCTGCGCCAGCCACTCTACGATGCTCCCTGCCCCGAGAAGGAGAACTCCCGTCCCCAGCCTCTGCACTTTCTGTCCCCTCACCTGGATTACTCCTCCCTGCCTCCCTCCCTCACCTGCTTGTGTCTGCTCCAGAGGGGCCCTGCCTGGGCACCTTGCTGACGATGGCCACCCACCCCAGCACTCCCTCCCCAGGCTCCTTCCCTGCTTCAGCTTTCTCTGTGGCACCTATCACCGTCTGACGTGCAATGGATTTTACTTACTGCCTATTGTCATCTTCCATACTAGAATGGAAGCTACACACATGTGGGGAGGCACCTGGAACACAATACAAGGCACATAGCAGGTGCTCAGGGAAACCTTGCCAAATGAATGAAGAAGCACACATAAGAGGACTTCCCGGCGGCAGCCCCCCCTGGCCACTCCCTGGGTGCCCTAGGCTCATCCCCTCACCTCTTTGGTCCTATTAGGGGAAAGCAGACCCAAGGCTCTGTCACAAAACATGAGAAGCAAGGAGGAATTAGTCCAAATAGGTGGAGATTTCTCTTTAACCAGAACTCTTCTTTCCCCTTAATACAAAAATACTTGTGTCCCAGCTGTTGGCTCTCCTGTCAAATCTGTCCTATGCTGAGAGCTCGCGCTCTGCGTTCCCGCCAAGGATCTGCTGTCACGGAATCTCTGGGGTTTTACAGAAGGTTCTCGGGGCAGCGAGACGCATTGCCTTCCTGGAGGCGCACACCTGGAAACCCCTCAAACAGGAAGGACCCAGTGTGGATGACTGATGAGGCCGGTAACAGGCTCGTGGGATCACTGTCCGATTCCCTCCACTTTCTGTAGTTTGGAAATTTTCTTTAAAAATAAAGAAAGGAGTGTTTTTCCCTGAAGTTCTTTCTCCCCCACACATGCCCAGAGGACTTCCTGTTGCTCTCTCCCCGCAGTCCTCCACCTACAGCTTCTCTTTTCCCCAGCCCTCTGGTTTGAGGAGAGAGCAGTCCCTCCCTGTGCTCTAGCTGCCTGTTTGCGCCCTGAAGTCATCTGGGGCCACTTACGAACCTCTGATGCCCAGTTGTCCCCTCCCCCCACAGCAAGACTGAGTCCAAATGGTCTGATAAAGGGGTGCTGGACACTGATTGTGTCCCAAGCCTACTTCTCTGCTGCACCCGGGGGCCTCCTGTTAACAGGGTCCAGCCTCCTTGGAAGCCCAGCCCTAGGGTTCCCCGACAACTGCTTAAGTGACTCGAAGAAGTATTTCTTCCAAACTCAGGCATGAGCTTTATTCTCCACCAGAACTCCTGGTGGGTGACATTCTCCCCACTGCTTACACAACTCGGGTTCACTGGCGCCCTTTGGAAAGTGCAGAGAAGCACACGGGAGCCAGCCACAGCCCACTTCAGGCCCAGGAATTCCTGAACAGAAAGGAGCCATTGTCCCCAGTCACTTTAAGGGAACAGCTCAAAAACACATTCAAAGGGCCCTGATGATAATGAATATGCTAATGTGATTTCCACTGGGCACCTATGCTACCTCTAAAAATGCTTTCTGACCTTCCTCATGGATTCAAAGCTTCCATTGAAGTCAATGGGGGATTTGGGTTAAAACAACATGAAAGTTTTCACTCAAATGGACAAAGCTGGGGAATTACAAATTAAGCATGAGTTTCACATTGGCCCTAACACTGCCGACCTTGAGGGGAAAACAGGCTGTGGTAGGTTGGCAGTGGACCTTTTGGCCAGGTGGCTGTTGACTTTGGGTGGACCAGCCAGCAAGCATTGGAGGGGCTCTTTTGCATGACAAATGAGCTCTGGAGGCCTAGGTTTAACCCCCAGCTCTGACAGTAGCTGGGTGACCTTGGGCAAGGCGTATCATTTCTCTGATTGAGGCTCAATTTCCCCATCTGTAAAATGACTTGAATGATCCCTCCCTCGCAGCATTGCTTCCAAGATTAAGTGGAGGGGTTAGGAAAGTAGAAAGCGTCTTGGAGCTCCCCACCCTCTCGCCCAATCGCAGGCTCGGCAAGGGTGTGAACATCCCCCGCCTCCCATCTCCCAGACTTTCTTTCCTTCATTCAACACATATTTACGAAGCGCTTTCTGGGTGCCAGGCACTACTTGGGGGCTGCGGATTCAGCTGTGAACAAAACAGATGAACTCTGCTCTCCCTGGAGCTGCCATTCGAGTAAGGAGACAGACACCAAACACATGAACAGATAGATAATATTTAAGTGGTAATAAGTGACACAGAGACGAAAAGCAGAACCCTTAATGAAAGGGGCAGAGCTTTAGAATCAGACAGACCTGAATTAGAATCCCAGCTCGCCCCTCCCTGGCTGTGTAACTCCAGGGAAAGTGATTTATCTCCCTGACATTCTTCTCCTATGTCCAGTGAGACCCATTGATCATCCATCCACCCATTGGACAAATATTTACAGAACTCTGTCCTGTGTCAAGCATCGTTTTGAGTGCTGAGGCAGGGGGCCACAGTGAATGAAACAGACAAAAATCCTTGCCCTTGGGAGCTTAAAAATCTAGAAGAAAGAAACAGACACTAAACAAATATACGCATATACACATATCGAGTGATGGAAAAAAATGCATTGGAAGGAGGTCCCGAAGGATGGAGGGGCACTATTTATGGAGGGTGTTCGGGGAAAGGCTCTCTGAGGAGCTGGCATTTAAGCTGAGACCTGAAGAACATGAAGTTACCCATGGGGCTATTTGGAGGAAGAACATTCCCGGAAGGGACATCAAGGACAAAGGCCCCGAGGTGGGACCGTTGGGAGGATCAAGGAATCGAGGCAATGGATGAGAAGCACCCAGCACAGCGCCCGGCTCTGAGTAGGTGCTCAAATAATAGCAGTTATTATTTGTGCTGGTTTCAGGAAAAATGGGAGAGAAGTCATTTTTCATTATCACAAAAGTTCTCGCAGGCTTTGCGGATTGGCAACTTCTTCGTTCCCTTTTCTATTGTTTTCCTGAGTGAAAACCAGCAAGTCCAACTTCTCAGCCCACCTGCCAGCCCTCCTGTGCGCCCCCAGTCTGAATCCGGGGGGAAGGCGTGACATGTGGTAGCGATCCTGGAGGGAAGGGGTACGTAATTAATGATGGTTATTAAATAATAATGGCAACATCTTGAATTTCTTCCCTCTCTGCAGCCTCACAAATTAGACGCCCTGGAAATGCTGTGCCGGGCGCCAAGATGCACCTCCATCTGGGGTGGAAGGCAACATCTGCTAAACAGCTGCATCTCGTTTAAGAGCTGGTACTTAATTCAATTACTCAGCTCTGGCAGGGACAGGAGGAGCCAAGCGGGAAGGGGCAGGCCCAGGCACGGGCGTGTGCTCCACTTCTTCCCAAGTTCACCCAAACTCCACTCCGGCGGTGTCCTTCCTCACACCTGCTGATGCAGCCAACCGCGGCAGGTCCACATTTCCAGAACAGGCTGTGCTTACACGTGCCACCTCCTTACCTTTACTCGAGCTGTGCCCCGGCCAGGAACACCCTCCTCCTGCCTGTCCGACTCCTGTGAGTCCTTCAAAAGGTCCAACTCAAACATCAATCTCTCTTCCCTGAGGTCTTTCCCAACCTGCCAGCCACAGGGAATTACCTCCCACGAGCTCTCTCGGTGCTTCATGCCTTCCTTGGCTGGAGCATTCATACCATTGCATTGCAACCTTGTGTCCCCTGTTGTTTTGTAAGCTCCTTAGGTTGGGGACCATGTTTAATTCCTCCTCGTACTCTCAGCATTGTACCTGACTCCCTGCAGACACTTAATAAGTGTTCAGTTAATAAATGGATGGATGGGTGGAGTGAGGGAGGGATGGAGAGACTAAAGAAAAAGAGGGATGGATGAACAGATGGACCCACTGCCACCATCCAAATCCAACTACCATCCTTTCTCACTGGAACGAACACGACGGTCTCTTACTGGTCATTCAGCTTCACTCTTCACCCGACAGTCCCTTCTATTCAGAGCACTTAGGAACCTTTTGAGTATGGAATTACGTCATGTTTAAAACCTTCCAGTAGCTTCCACGTTCCTCACCCTGACCTCCAAGCCCCTGTGGGACACAGCCCCGCCGGTCTCATCTCCTCGCTGTCCTACGCTCCAATGACGTGGGGAAGCTGCCAAGCTCTGCTCACCTCAGGACCTTTGACTCTGCCGATCCCTGTCTGGGACCCACTTCCCTGGCTCTCTGTCAACCTGGCATGCTCTCAGGTCTTCCAGTCTAGCTCTAATGTCATTTCCTCAAAGAAATCTCTCTTTACTCCCCTAGTTAAAATATCCACCATCTTGATTCCCCAAAGGCAGAGGGGTCTGATGCAGCCGGCCAGCACTTGGGCGGCCAAAACCCAGAGCGTGCAGTCCTCCCCCCAGGACCAGCGACAGGCCGGCCCTCCTCTGGTGCTCACTCCTCCTCTCCATCAACTGAAGATTCCTCATGAATGGGCTTGTCTGGAACTGCCGCAATTAAACTATCACGGCAACGTCGGACCATTTGTTTACTATGGCACTTAGAGCTGGAATGGCTTGTTGTTTTGACTGTTTCTATTTTCGGCTTGGTTTCCTAGGGGTAGTGGGGAGAGGGTAGGCAATGAATCCTGGTCTATTCAAGCAAAAAAGATGCTTCCGTGAAGGCTAGAATTTCAGACTTACAGGATTTTAGACTCATTGTCATGGAAGATGAGAGCAGTGAAAATCTATAATTTTGCTTATAGGTTCTTAGATTCACGGGATCCTAGAATCTCACTCAAGGAAATCAGAATCTTAGAGTCAAGCCGATTTAAAGTCTTCGAGCGACAGGATCTTAGGAGACCCTCGCTTTGCTGAGGTCCCTGCTCCACGTCCCCTCCTCGGAAGACCTCCCCCGAGCACCTTGCCCACGTTTGCCTCCTCTGGCAGCCTGTCACTCTCTATTGTTTTACTCCTGCTCATTTTTCTTTGTAGCATTGATCACCACCTGACATTTGATATATTTCTCTGCTTATTTGCTTAGTGCCTGTCTCCCCACACATTAGATTGAGGTCAGGAACTTTGTTTTGTTCACTGTTTAGAGGCGTTCTCATAACAATGCCTGGCAAGTAGTAAGGGCTAGGGGAAAAAAAGTGTCCATTCATCCAACAAATATTTATTGCATACCCACTCATGTTGGTCCCTTGGAGATGATCTTGTCTCAGGGTGGGAGGGGGGGAGGTCTCGTTTTGCATGCCAAACGCAATTGGTAGGAGCTAACCAGAGCACCGTGGTGAAGATGCTCAAGGCTCTCCCAGGCTCCGTGGGGAAGGGCGATTGAAGAACAACGTCTGGCATGGACCCAGCAATGGCGAGAGTGGCCATCTCTGCCATGGCCTCTAATCTTACACCGAGGTCCAGAAGGAGATGTCCCAGGTTGACTTGCTTGGGGACGCTGCAGCCTGGATCAGAACCCCCGGTGTTCTGTTTGAGCTCTTCAGTCTCACCTCGGCACTGGGCCCTGAGCACGAGTCTCTTGCGGGCACCTGTGTGTGCCCTCCCTCCCCACCAGCCCACAGTGCCCCCCCGGCCATTCCCCGGGGTGAAGGAGCTGCTGGAGTCCCTGGCCCTGAACCCCCAGCCTGGGAACCCAATTCTGAAACACTGCCTGCATGCACAAGCCAGTTATTTTTAAAAATCCAAAAAGAAAAGGGAAAAAGAGAAAACTCACTGCTTCGTTCTCTGCACCAGCCCTGGCAGAGAGAATAGAGACTTGAAAGGAACAAAGGGTTTCCTCAGACACAGCAGATCAAGGGCTTGGCTTATGTGGTAACCGGTAACCGACCACCGCGCTTTGTGACAGATCCTTCAGAAGGCGGCGGCCTCTGTTCCCGCTGCCCGCAGTCTTGGCGGGA